ACGTATATATTAGTTTAGTTCCCCCTTCACGAGTCGCGAAGCACGTGCGCTATCTTCATCGTGCAGACCTCGCGAAAGTCGGGGGCGCCCGCGCAGACGTTGAAGCCGCGAGCATTTGCGCTCGACTGATCACCGCCCGGGAATTCGCCGCGGTCGTTCAAGTACTTTCGAGCACTCTCTACCACCTGGCGAATCGATCGCCCAGTGTGAAATCGAACCGCCCGCGCGATATATAATATATATATATCGGATTTCATACACACACGACACATTCGCACATGTCGTGTATATATATATATACATGTCGTGTATATATATATATATATATATATATATACACGACATGTGCGAATGTGTCGTGTGTGTATGAAATCCGATAGAAACTGCGCGAGCGCGCTCGTCTAAAATCAGTATCGAGTGCGAGTCATAATAGACCACGCATTCAGCCTCGTAAATCTTTCTCACCTTGTGTTAGTGTGCGAGCGAAATGGAACGACTGACATGCTTAGGCGGCGACCACCTTTCGCGCGGAAGCGGTTTCGTTAATCGTCACGGCTAGAGACCTTCACACGTGGAAAAACGTAAGCAGCAAGGAAGTTGACCAACCGATCGGTATATTTTTTTAGGTTCACGTATTCGAAAAAGTAATAGAAGTGACGATAAGTTTGGTCAACCAATTGAGGTCTTAGTTATTTCTGCTTCTTCCAAGGCCAAACTTATCGTCTCATCTTTATCGTCTTTTGGAATACGTAAATCTAAAGAAATATACTGATTGGTCGACTTCTTTACTGTTTAAGTCTTGGGTTTTTTTTTACGTGTGAAGGTCTGTTGTACAATACGACGTCGTGTGTCGGATGTCGAAATGAGCGAACGAGCGAAGTTATTTTTCGAAAGCGAGTTTTCTTCATTGAACCGTCGGCTGCGTTCCGACATCCGACAGTGACATACGATGTATTATATAAAAGACCGTCTACAATAGTAAGTGTGCTTATAATAGCGAGTATAGTAAAGTATGCAGTAAGCTAATTGACCAAGTACAGACGATTATTCCTAGACTGTAAGAATCCAATTGGTCAATTAGCTTATTACTTACGTCTTGCTGCATATTTTACGGCTATTGCAGATGATTTTTAATAGGTCCAAGGAAAACTAGGCTCATGGCACACACAAAAACGTCAGCAGTAAGATGTAAGCAAGTTGACCAATCAATTATTCTTCTTATAAGAAGTTACGGGGTTATTTAGGTTAACTAATAAATTCTTATATTACATGTTAAATTGTAAAATTCGTATTCTGAATTCTCTTTTATCGATAAAAGTGAGTTTAGAATATGGATCTAATACTATACTAAATCCGGATCTACGACAGATAAGCCTTAAAGCCGTAAAAAGTTATAATCATAATCGATTATTTTCCTTACATTCGACTGTGATTGGTCAATTGGTTAAAAAGTTACTACATCTATCGTAGATTTGAACTAATATTAATACTAATTAATATCAATTATATTACAATAATAGATTAATTATATAACTAATAGGTTATAGATAAGCTAATAAGTTTAGATAATTAAGTATTTAGGTTGGTAAACAAATTGACCAATCACAGTCGATTATTCTCCTTATAAGGACTGTGATTGGCTAATTTGCTTACTGTTTAAGTCTTACTGCTTACATTTTTCTGTGTCAGAGCTCTTAAAGCTTTTTACACATACAAAAGTTTTAGTCATAATCGTAAAGTTGCGGTCTTGAAATCTAATGTTCGTTTTTATTAATATTGTCATCATATGGGACATGATATAATACCATCTTCTTAGTGATTTCTGATTGATCAACGATATGGAACTGCTTCCCTATTGATCGACCATAAGACATTAACCGTAAAATTCCAACGTGGAATGAAATTTTACGACTACGGTTACGACTTTACGATTACAAATTTTCACTTGCATTGTTCCATTTGATTGTACGTTGGAAATTTACGATCTTACGGTTATGACTAGAACTTTTATGCGTGCAATAGCCTTTATTCCGCGACGAGAGCGCGTCTCTTCTCGGCGTGTTACATTTCTCACTGCGATGAATCCGAAAGAGGGAGAGAGAGAGAGAGGGGATCCAGCGAGCCTCCGGGTGGAAATTCAAACGATTATTCTTTATTTGTCTATTATTTGAGAATCAGAGAATTAAAGAGGCGGAATTAATGGGGCGTTAATTGACCGGCGGCATCGCTGCAATGAATTATCTGCGCCCGGAATTGCACGCTCTCCCACGCCTCTCTCGTTCGACGTGCGGCCTTTTTATCAGGCGTCAGTTATCAGTGCCGGGTCGCAATCCGCTCGCGGGAGATCGTTTTGTTTTGCGCGATATTCGTTCTCCGCAATCAACACTAATAACACCGCGCAGACGTTTCGTTTCTACCAGCCGAGCCGCTCGAGTCTCCGCCTTACGACTCGGAATAATGACACATCCTCTGACTCATATTCTCACCGATCATGCCAGAGCTTTGTTACTATCACTATGTAGCCGCTCGTGATACACATGTAAGCCAGCACGCACGCACACGCGTATACGTCATCGCGCCACTAATTCCGCCGATTCGTCATCAACACGTAGAACTGTGTGTACCCGAGAGGAGAGTTTTACGTAAACCTCGTTTCGCTCGTTCCCGCACAGTTTTCCCACTATTTGTACATCGTTTTGGTAAGAGATACATTTACGTGTTCCCTGTTGATCGTCGCTCGAACGGGTGCGATCGTTCCAGCGAATGAGAAAATAAATTCACCGGCCGGCGAGAGATAAATTTTCCCCGACGAATTAACGAGACCTCTCCGAGATAAACGTTCATTCGTTCGTACGACCTTGACGAAGGCGCGAGGATCCGTTGTCGATATCCGCGTATTGAATTTACGCGTCGTGTGAATGATTTAGAGATGGAATATTTAGAAACATGGAAAAAATCGCCGGGAAGAATTACGACCGTCGTGAATACCGTCGAAAAACATTCAGGCTGGAGTAACAGGTTAATTGCTTCCCGCGAAGGAATTCCACAGCCTATCGCTCTGTGAACACTTCTTAGGAGATTGCTGACTGATCATACGAAGGGGTCGATGTTTTGCCACTGTGTGTGATCACCCATGCCAACCGGTGACGTAAGGGTAGAAGGACTTTTTATTGGCCATGCTGACGTAAACATGCGTAAACATACTCTTCGAGCGTATGATCGATATTCAAATTATTTGCGGGCCAAGACGAATGTGTTCCCCTTGCTTGCGCGCCTGTTTTCTGCGAGCGAAATTCGTCGCATGAGTCTCCATGAAAGTCGCTTTCGCCATCGAACGGTTTTGTCTCTCGCGTGAATCGTGAAATTTTCATCAAGTCATCTTGCTTTCGATTTGAAACATTTGATTTCCTTTAATTAGAGAAAATCAAGACACTCGATTTTTACCTAGGGTCCCCCCCTCCCCCGGGTTGAAAGTAGGACGCATGATATGTGAGAGGTACTTAACGTCGAGACGTGCAACGTCTCGAATTACGAAAGTTAATACAGTGGCGCACTTATTTATGATAAAAGCGGATACGTCGGCTGTTCAGCACTTACCGTCTCGACTACTTACGCGAGGTGAGCATTTTCGAGGGTCGCCCGTAACCAAGGTTACCCAGTTATGCGGGCACCTACGTGACTATAAAGCACGGAAATAACCACTAATGAATTTCCCTTAAAACTTGTCGAGCTAGAAAAGCCCCCGAGCTTCGTCGTAAACGATGAAAAATTGTGTCGCTGACACAAACGAGACATCGCGATAATTACCTGGGAGATATTACTCGAGCGATCTTCGTTAAAAAAAAGTTGCCAGCGTATTATTAATTCGTTAAGCAATTTCAAGCATCATTGAAACATCGCTATCTTTCCGTTTTCATTCCGAACATTGTCCTCAATAATTAATTGATGTAACGACTACCAAGTTGATTAGCTCAATTCGATTAACCCGGAAATAGTCATCTGGGGTTATTTTATACCCCAACGGATAGCAAATGAAGTTCACGTCGCAGTGGACTTCCTTTACTGATCGGGAACCAATATGTACCTTTCATTTGAACATTTATAGTCCTAACTTGTCCAATAAAAATAGACTGTGACCCATCTTATTCATAGTATAAGCTTGTAAAAACACGTACAAACAACCGCGGGTGATCGTTTACGTTATAAAATTAGTCCTGTATAGCAAGAGTTCGTATTGTGAAGACAAGATGATAAGTGTGAATGAAGTTATGCGTGAATATTAAACAATATTTATATTACATTTGATACCGATAAAAATGTTCAGAAAAATAGGCAAAGATGTTATTATTAAATATCTAATATTTATATTTATTATTTATAATTAACATATATAGTTAATATTAACATTTATTATAAATGAAATTAATATTTTAAACTATTTTAACTTTTTATTTAATATAAAAAAATATCTATATTCTTAAAAATTTGTAATTTTTTTTTATTAAAAATATTTATTATATCATACATTTATATAATACATTGAAGAAATATGAAAATAAATAATTTCTTATAAAATAAATGTTATTTAATATACATTCGTTCATTCAATCTTTTTTAATAATTATTCTTTATGAATCTTTACATATCTTATTCCATCGAAAATGGGCAATAAAACAGCGTTTTTTAAATTGATATTTTCATTTTGATATTTTCATTAGAAATACTGTCATAATAAGACACTTGATGTGCTTATTCCGGCTCTTAAATATTTTTTTGGTTTCCCCCATTTTTTCAAAGAAATAGCAAGTAAATCTTGCTATTTATAAAATCCCTATATAATAATAAATCATACTATATTTTGCTAATGATAGCGGTTTTAATTTTTAACGTAAAAATACGGTTACTATTCTCGGGTTAAGGACGAACGCGATATCGATCCTTCGTCGCAGTTTGCGCTCTTTCAAACTTGATTCTGTCTTCTTTTTTTTTTCATATCAAAGTGACGTATGTGGGGCCGACGGTCGTGCACGAGGGTCAACCTTGGAGTATCGAGTGCAACGACTTGGTGAAGGATGATCTCATTAGATGGACCAGGAACGGTCAGACGTTGGAACCTGAACTATCCAGCGGTCAGCTATTCGTTTCCTCGCAGGCTGGCACCGGCAGCAGTAAGCTTTCGGCGACCCGAGCTATGGAGGACCACGATGGAGATTACAAATGCACAACCGACAGTGCGGACTCCTTCCACCTCTCGATATACTTCGGTTCGTAACATGACGTTAGCTAATGCTGTCGTAATTGATCCCGATCGAGTCTGTCATTCGCAGAATTCCCGGTGATTTATTTTTTCATTTCGTCGTGCGGCACTCGACTTGCTCGCGTCAGTTATTTTGTACGCGTGACATGGTTATCACTGTGTTTCCATTAAGTTAATTGAATTTAGCAAATATCTAGTAATTATTACACGTACACTACGCGATACTGTTCTTTTCTTTTTTCTTTCATTATCTTGATTTTGCTTGCGTGTTTATTACAGACTCTACCCGACAAATAGCAAGACATTGGTTATCGGTTAAATTAATAAGTCGAGTAGTCAGGTCTGTACAGATACGTGGCCTACATCTAGCATCTCTTCTGCGACATCTGATAATATTTGAGATCTGATAGTCTATCGTGACTACGTACATGCACGAATCCTCGTTTTGTTTGTCCTGATTCATGTTCGAGACTTTCTTTTTTTATTTATCTCGCCCTCGCTACTTTGATATGAAAATATCAAGAATTATCGTAACATTTAAATCGTATTATCAAATTATCAGTGTATATCAGTGTTTATCTGCACCAAAATGTGAAATTTTTAACTTCAACTGAAATTTTTTTAAATCTCTAATGAACAATCTGTGGAACTTAAAAATTAATAGTTGATCAAGAAATTAATTTGCGACGTATGATTCACGCGTATCTAATCGTACGAGATTATCGGCACCTCTCATGATATTCTTACGTTATAGAGAGTACGAGTTACATTTTATTTATCTTTTGATAAATCAAGTGTACCCAATTAGAGTATTCCCGTGTTAAAAAAGAAAAAAATAAATTGCAGAAACTGCGCAAATTTCATGTAATTTAACAAAAATACGATAATATTCAGGCAACTCACGTGGATATCAATGAACTTATTCGACAGGAGCAGATCGTACGAATCACTTCGTATCTTCTCAGTCGCCATAAGAGATTCTTAGATATTATTACAGAATATTTAGGACGACGTTCTAAATATAACCGCAATAGTTGCCGCCGTCACTCTTGCATTATAAAACACTCACTCGAGCATTTAGAGAATTGAGTTGCAAATAAATCCTTTCGCGTCGCAAGACGGAAATTTAATTTCGCGTGCAAATTTTTAAGTAAAAATATCATATACCTGTTTTCGAGATCTTTCCGATTGATTCGCTTCGCGATCGCGGATGAATCGTCAAACGAAAAGAAAATGTGCCTCTGTGTGTGTGTGTGTGTGCGCGTGCGCACATTCGTCTCGATAATTTATTTGCTAGCGTAAAATGCGCGTGGTGGTGATATATTTATAGCACGCAGCACCGAAAGACAACATCTTGTTTGATGCAGATATTAAGATTAGAGTACTTACACCCAGGGACATACCTTTGGCGCTCGAATGCACAAACAGAAGCGCCGGAGATAAAGTGCAATGGCTGAAGGAGAAGGAACCGGTGGTTATGACGCTGGGCGGCAATGAGGATATCCTCAAGATTGATAACGAGACCGGCACTTTGGAAATTTTAAAGGAGGTCGAAGAGGCTTATGGAAATTACACTTGCAAAATCGCCAACTCCACAACCGACTACAGAGTCGTACGTAAGTACTCGAGCGCAACTATCTCCTGTATTAATTTCGCGCAAAATTGCAAGTTACAATTATGTAAAATTACCAGACAGTTTTAAAACGCGTTACTCTGAATTAGAAAAAGATTTAATTACTCTAATTTATTTAAGAGCAACAAATTTGATTTCAATTAGGTTTTATAGAAAATCTCTGCCGCCTCTTACTGTATCTTTTTAATTTAGGGTAACTGCCTGGTAATTTTACACAATTGTAAATTTAAGTAAATATAATCTTGACATAAATCAATGAAACATATTGCCTCATAATTTGTAAAATTTCGCGAAATGATTACCTTATATAATATTTTCGCTGTTACTACCACTAATTCAACTCAACTCATGGTAATGGTAGATAGCGTTGGGTTGTCGTAGAGTATGATGATATAATAGATAGTTGTGTCTATTATATATTTCATCGGTAGGGAAAAACCAAAATTCAAACAAGCATTAAACGGAAACAGCCAAGGTTTTCTCTGTGTTCTAACATTGGGCGTTGCACAATTTTAGCGAGGCCAGTCGCACATTTGGCGGAGTCTATCAGCGTGGTGGAGGGCGAGAAGCTGCACTTGGTGTGCGGCGGGAAACAGAGCCCTGGTATCAAGATAACCTGGACTTTCGGCGATCAGAATTACACACGCAGCAAAGACCGCGTGAAGATCACCAAGGACCAGGACAGGGGTATCTACGGCGCCGTCCTAACTGTCGACAATATCGAGATGAGCGATCGCGGTAACGTTATCTGCAGGGTGTCGTACAACTGGTCCGATCCCGTTCCGGAACATTCGTCAGAGGCCGAGACATTCCTCAGGGTCAAGGACAAGCTCGCCGCGCTCTGGCCCTTCTTGGGCATTTGCGCGGAGGTCGTCGTTCTCTGCGCCATCATCTTAGTTTACGAGAAGAAGCGGAACAAAGCCGAACTGGAGGAATCCGACACCGATCAGAGTCCCGATACGTGAGTAACCTCTTCTGGGATCGCCGCTCATTGCTTGTCCAATCCTATTCCGGCGTGAATATCAAATGATTCTGCGTTCAGTTGAGAAAGTAATGAATTTCAATGAGCGCTTTGTGCTTCATTGGCTGCGTTCGGCGAACTCAACTCAGTTGAGTGATTGACTTTTGGAAGATGGATGTGATTGGCAGATCTAAAAGTATATACCAGTCATAGGTGATTGTTATTCAGCAATTGTACAACCGTTGTATTTGTTAAATGCAACCAATACCTGTGTCCAGCGAACACAACAGTTGAGTGATCGATTTTTAGAAGATCTAAAAGTACACGTCAATCATAGCAGATCTAAAAATATATACAAGTTAATAATTATTTATCAACGGTTTTACAACCATATTCTTTGAACTCAACCATTATCTATGACTGAAATACTCTCTTATATTTTTGATCTAGGAAAATATATCAATCAAGAGCAATAATCATTAAACGCTCATTAAGTTGCTTTTTCTGCTGAACGCAGGCATTGAATATATTCAGTACCAACACTGTTTACTAAACACTCGATGAGCTTTCGGATTTAATTGGTTTTTATTTGCATATCTTGATGAAATCTTTGAAAGTGCACACCAATCAAATCCAGGAGCTCACTAAGCACTCGATGAGCGATTACAGTACTGAACGTGCACCTTGTCTTCACCACGCAGTTTCTTGAGTCCTCTTGGTACATACTTTTAGATCTGCTATGATTGATGCGTACTTTTAGATCTTCTAAAAATCGATCACTCAACTGTTGTGTTCGCTGGGCACAGCCATTGGTTGCATTTAACAAATACAACGGTTGTACAATTGCTGAATAACAATCACCTATGACTGGTATATACTTTTAGATCTGTCCATGAATCCTTGGAATGGTACATCCCGATACACGAACCTCTCTCTTCCGATCTCCCCTCGTCATCTAAATCATCACAGATCAGCTCCACCAAGAGCGTCCACTTCGAACCCACTTCGGATAAGTTCCGGAAATATTGCACTTTAAATTCTATCCCATTAAATCTCAGCCGTTTCTCTCAACTGTTTAGGAAAAGAAAAAAAAATGCGAATGACGATCCCATAATAATCTTATACCGCTCCATTTCTATGATCATAAACTTGTAGTATTTTCGATATATATATATAGCTCAACTGTTCGCTCGTGATTCACGTTCTGCTCTCGTTGAATTTGTAGCAAGCCAACGCCCAACAAGGAGTCCGATGTCAGGCAGAGGAAGTGAAACAACAAATAGATGAATAAGAACGAGATGCGATAGAAACGACAAGGAGAGGTCGTCGTGTGTCATAGAGTGCTTAACGGAGATTCGCAGCAAAGACAACGGGATGCGGCTTTGAATGGGGAATAGAGATCGTCTAAATGTGGAATAAACACTGAAGGAAAATGGACAGTAAGCTCGAACGGGCCATTTATAGTGCACACCTGCGTGGACATGGGCTTGTGCAAACGCATGGCAGGATCACAAGTTACTAACAAATTAAATTAAGCCTTATTATGGTGTTCACTCCATTTATCAGATGTTCGCCTGTTCGTATTCTTTAACTACACTGCTTTGACCGACGGAGAGGTGTGTTGACACAAGAATTATGTACAAGTGCCGATGACGCGAGTATGTATGTGTGTGTGTGCCAGGAACGGAGGGTGGCAGTGGGCGAGAGAGGGAGAGAGAAAGAGAGAAAAAGTAATGCATGTATGAGTGAAAAAAAGCTAACAAGAAAACAGATCGATAGATCGAAGAAGCAGCAAGTAATACGGCGTGTCCGTCGATTGCGAATATGCGCGCACAATTATATATATATATATATATATATATAAAATAAATAAAATTTCCCACGAAATGCTTGGAGAGGAATTTGCAGTATCACAAATCTTGGTCGCGCGTTCACTCGCCGCATTACATCGCCCCGATCTCGCGCAGTACTCACGCTCGCGTTCGACGGACACGCCATGGGAATTAGATTCGCGTAGAACTCGTTTCTCAAATCGCACGTGTGACCGAAGAAAAATAAACTTTATGGTAGGGCCGAAAATATGTGCTCGATACTAGTTATGTAATAAATAGGAACGCGGGCAGTGCGTGCCACATTTGGCTTCCGGATATGCTCGCGCACTCTTCAAGATTATGTGAGAAAGGGAGAGAAAGAAGGAAAGAGAGAGAGAGAGAAAGGGGAAAACAGAGAGAGAGAGAGAGAAAGCGAGGGAGGAAGAAAGAGAGAGAGAGAGAGAGAAAATCTTTGGCGTCGCCTTATTACGATATATTCCATCGCTCGTGGAGATATCCCGGAAGTCTGGCTGCACGCGACGCCGTTGTTAACGACATTAATGTAATTAATACTGTAATATTATTGCCATCGTTACTACTGCTGCTACTACTATCGTTATTATGATTATTACAAGTATTATATCGTTAATTTTACCACTATTGTAATAATTTATAATCCGTACCAACACGATATCTCTTATATCGACAGTGTCGTCGTATTGTCGTAGGTATTTACAACTTCTACTCCACAATTAGGGGGATCAATCGAGTGTCACGGGGTGCTACGCTCGTTTTTATTTTATCGTCGTCACATCTATCCATATATCGTCGTTCCTTTTCTCTCACATAGGCGTACCGATAGACCAATTACAGTTTATAATTGAAACAATACGGGGACAACACTTCCAAAATGAACAGGGTGGTCTATTAAAGAAACAGGACGCGTCGACTCTGTCGAGGAAAAATGTACAAATGTTTTATTGCTCAAACGTCCATGCTCGCTCTTAAGTAGATGCACTTGCTTGCTTGTTGGGCGTGTCGGTACTCGGATAGATGCGCGCGTGTATTCGCCGAGCGACGTAACTTCAGGTACGCGAATCTTCCCGTCGTGGAATCCTCGGGTTTCCGCTGGGGCCGCTGGATCTTCATGTTCCAAGGTCCTCGAAGCCGCCACCACGGCTTCTCGAGATCCAATATTGAGGCCCGTCGCCTCTCTCGTGGACCCTCGAGAACCCACGGAAGTATCCAAGCCGCTAGATACAGTCTCGAGGATCCTTGGATCGTGATGACTAACGATAATCACGCGATCAGTTCCACCACGAAAAGCACGAAAGTCCGACGGAGCGGAGTTCGCGCACTCTGTACAGAACCGCGCGCGCGTCCTATGGATAAGCTTCTTTGGTCGTAAGCGCCACTCGTACGCTTCCGTACACGGAGACCTCCCTCTCGGTGGCTCGACAAGAGCCGACCGACTGGCTCTCTCCGCCGGGAGGAGAGAGAAGTCACGTGGGGAAAGGGGGAAGAAGTAGAGATAATAGCACCGCGCAGGGACCGCGAATTCTCTTTCCCTCGCTCGTCCTTCGTCACTGACGAGGTATGTACAGGTCGTCCGTCTCTCGGTGGAAGCGGGCAAGATGAATCGTTTCTCTCCTCTCTTTCTTTCTCTCTCACGATACCATCGAGAGGAAGGATTCGCTGGATCGGGACGCTCTTCTCCTCCTCGGATTTTACTTCGGCACCTGGCTGCCGTAGTCCACGTAAACGCGCACGACCTCGCCGCTGTACTTCCGCTGGCTCGGCATGAAGTAGAAGTCCGGTTGGTTCGCCTGTGCAGCAGCGCCCGTCGGATTGTGCAGACTCTTGGCGCGCTGATAGTGATCCCTGCGATCCTGAGTGTAGTAGCCAGCAGGCTGGATCGGCGCGGAGTGCCTGGAGCCGGGCGCGCGGGGCAGACTGTAGGTCGCCCTGGGACCGACTATCCTGTTGGGCCCTTCGACGGCATCGGTGCCATTCATGCCGGTGGTGCCGTTGCCGGCCAGCTCCCTGGGTCGCGGCAAGCTGGAGACCGGCGGCGGCGGCGCCTTCTCCTCCGTCTCGAACGCCTCGAACGCGAAGTTCGTGTTCGCACCCGACGCGTAATCCTTCCAGGCGTTGCTGGCGATCAAACGTTCCTGTAGGAAAAAGAGAAAAGCGGTTCAGCGCCGAGTTTGTTGAATCGCGAAGAACGAGAGTCGCTGTGACTTTCCTTGTTTAATGACGTCAGAGAAAATGCACGCCGAGATCTTTTGCGTTATACTTTCAAATAAAAAGATGTGTCCATAAAATAATATTTGTGATCGGTTCAGCAAACTTGTGAAATCGGACACTCTTCTTTTACTCGAACAATCAATAAGTAGTCGCGAAATTAATTCGACACCTTCTTTTCCAACCTATTCTCTCATGGTTTAGTCAATGTTAATTTTACGACTGCTTATTGATTGCTCGAGTAAAAAATAAATGTTCGCCGAATCGATCACAAAAGTGTCATGTCACAGATACATCTTTTTATTTGAAAGTGCAATTCAAGAAATTTTTCTCGCTGCTGATGTCATTAAACAAAGACAGTCGCAAAAGTTATTAATATGGATTTTTCTTTCACTTGAAACGACTGTTAATGGTATCTCACAAGCGATGTGAAACATTTGCTGAGGGAAAATGAATTCGGATGTCCGCGGATTTTCGAGACAGCGCGTGCACATAGATTGGTATACACTGATTGACCAATCGCATTGGCCAGTTACCTGAATCAATCGCCGACCAATGCGATTGGTCAATTCCATTGAGTGAATCGTCGATTAGATTTAAATCATGATAATAGAAACGAGCAATAGTATGGTACATACATACACACCTACATATATATAATGCTGACCAATTATTTACACTTTCAAAAAACTTGCTTTAGTACCGTGATGAAGTTTACAGAAATTTTCGTGAGCAGTGAACATGTCAATAAGCCATCTTACGATATAAGTAGGCCTGAAACGTTCTATTCGGATTCGTCACGGCGTACACATTTTCCAAATTGTGACAACGAAAGTCTGTATTCGCTTTTCGTTCCTTGTTCGTTCGTCTAGTCAGTGACTAGTTTTACATGGCAATTTAAAATCTGATTAGTAACACCCATGATCTACGTTTACACCAGTGTGAAAATCGATGTGATAACTCTCGATACTGCAACTATTAATGTTACATGTCATATACAATAGTTGTAATTATTTATACGACATGTAACATTGATAGTCGCATTAACGGAAACTATTAAACCGGTTTTGTGCCGTTCACGTAAACGCGAAATACGTAAGTTATTAAATTAGTTTCAAATTGCCGTGTAAACATAGTCAGTATATATCCAATTTTAATATTAGGTAACGCGTACTTGAAGATGTAATCCTCTAAGGGCCGAATTTTCATTTTCTGGTTAACTTGTTAGATTTAACCTGACGATAATGTAAAAATTATACTTTTCTATTTATGGCTAATCGTTAAATTTTTCAAGTTACCACCACAAAACCACCAGTTGAGTAATTAACTGTGAATAGAAAAATATTTGTATTATCGTCAGTTTCAATCTAAACCGTAAGTTGGTCAGAAAATGAAATACCGGGTCTAATAAGCAGTGCACTCGGTTGGGGTTTTCCTCTTCTAATTTCCCATCCATGATATCTATGAATATTTAAAAAGAAAAGGTGAGGAGAACAAAGAATTACACAAGGATGTAAGCTTTTCTCAACACTTTCCCGTATTAATAAAAAATTAAAGAAATAGATAGAGGATAGATTTAGGGAGGGAGGAAGGACAGAGAGAGAGAGAGAAAGAGAAATGCGAGTGCGCAAAGAAAGCTCGGAAATTTATCCAAGGTGTTAGCGAGTTAAAGCATGGGCGGAAGAACGAGTAACAATTTGCGCACCGATCACACTCGACGAGGAGAGCTCTACCAGCTGGGATTAGCCCGATGTATTTCGGACGGGACGTGTTGGTGGTGATGCCGAAGGTGATGATGATGATGATGGTGGTGATGATTGTTGTGATGGTGATGGTGATGATCGCCGTTTTGTCGATGGTACCGCGTCGCGTTCGTGCGATGAATCGGGTTGGGCGCGTCAGAAGAAGCCAGAGGCAGCGAGTACACCCTCTTTATGGTCGCGAGGAGCGCGGGTCATGCAACACAAGCGAAGCAAAAGATGTCTTCGGATTTATCAAGGGGCGAAGGTGTAGTACTGTTGTACGGATAAAGAGATTCCTACGGGGTGTCTCAAGAAAGTGTTTCAAGTACGCACGAGTTTAGTTTCTTAAGTCCGCGAGAAAAGAAGGTCCAGAGGTGTTACGATGTCTCATTACACCCAATTATCTGCAATACTATCTCCCAGACTCATATCAATAGTTGCCACTTGAGACTTGTCTCACGTGAGATGTTTCAATTTCAATTCAGAGTTAGATCCGCACTTTTCAGTCGAATTGTATGATATATCTGACATGGTATTTGCAAACTCTGTTCAACCGAAAAACTCACATCTAACTCTGAATTTAAATTTAAGCGTCTCATTTAATAGAGTTTTCAAGCAACAACTATTAATACAGGCCTCGACCGCTTTTTCAGAGTTTCACGATTTTGTTTACGGGTTTAACTGCGACCTTTTCATGTTTTAGTTGAGGCACGATTTAGTTCGTACGTCTGTTCGATTGCTGGTCATTGTAGTTATATTTGATTGGGGGATACTAAGAGGTTATTATATTACATATGACGTATAGAGGATGCATCAATGATTTTCTTTTAAAGCGATGTACTTGCTTAGCGATAGTAATTTTTAACAGCGTTTCTTGGAAGACTAGATATCAGCACGCATTATTGCGACTGCGCGCTATTCGGAAAATTGTGCCGACATCGATATCGAGATGCATATCGATTAACATATCGATCGCGAGACGCGTCTATATTTACGACGATCGCCGCGATCTCTCTCGGCAGTGCGCAGTCGCAACGATAGAGTCGTTAGAGGAGGAGCAGAACGCAACACTCGGAAGATTTGGGATGCGAGAAAGAATAGAGTGAGAGGGAAAATACATGAGGAAGAAGTAGAAAAGTTTCGGTCGCGCAAAACGGAACGTACCTTAGTCGCTCGTTTCTTCGAGCTTCTGTAGAGGGTGCAGCTGGCCTGTAGCAATGCCAGGGCTAACAACGCTGCCACGCAACCTACCACGATGTAGAGCTTCGTCGCACCCGGGAATAAGTCCGGCGAGGAAGGCGGTAAGTCGTACTCATCGTCCAATTCTATTTCGTTCACTGAAAGCAGATACAATTTCATCGGAAGTGATATCACATGTGCGTCACATGTCCCTTGAATTCTTAAAGTTACTACTTCGACCAAGATGGCGAGCGTTTTGAATGATTTGAATAATCTGAACCTGGCGAGCTTGGCCGCCATCATTATGGTCTATTTTTTTTTTATCGGAACTGGCCGCACTATTTCAAAAAATGTACGTACACATTGAAGCGTATGTATGAGATTCTCACGCTTCAGCGTGCGTACATTTCCGAACTAGTGCAGCCAGTTTAGCTAAAAAGGACAGACCATGTATGCATCACTCCCAAAATTGCAGTACCACGCGTTGCGTAATTTTATCGTACGAATTCTAACAATTCACAATGATAGTTATTCGTTCGTAATGCGTTCTATCAAAATAAAACTTATAACCATAGACTTCCAAGGGACGTCCCATATACGTCTCTTGGATAAAGTGTGCTGTATAGGGATAGATCATCTAATTTCGGCTAAATATATATAGTCGTTGAACTATGTACATTTAAAATAATTAATATTTAATATATACAATATTAATTTTATATAATATATAATACTATTTAATATTAATATTAATTTTTTTAAATATACACGTAAATAATAAAATATATATTTATTTAAATAAATAAATAAATAAATATATATATATATATATATATATATATATATATATAAATCTATGATAAAAAATCTGAGAGAACGAGAAATGATTTATTTCCTTTGATCGTGAAGACTTTCAATTGCTAAAAAGAGCAAGAGAACGCTTTAGATAATCAACGTGTCAATGTCCACTATATACTTATATCATTTGGACATGTTTAACTTACCTCGGGGTGCTCTAACGACCAAATACTGCGGGTCGACGCTGAGTACTCCGACCTTGCCGGTCACGAGTGCCTCACGTAACGCCTTTTCCGCTTCCATGCCGGTGTCCGCGGGCTTCAAGGATCTCCCCTTGGCCTCATTCTTATCGAGAATCAGATTCATGTGCGCTATCACTCCCTGTTCGTTGTCTCTGCGAGAGAAAAAATGACATTCAAGTAGCATTCAAGTAGCGCGCGCAAGGTGGGATTTCTCGTTCGTTGCTCTGTTGCGCGCCTTATCTCACCTTCGTAGCTCGTCAAGTCGGACTTGATAATAGCCCGGGAGCTTCTCGAAGACCGGTCCGAAGCTCTCCGATATCGTGTTCGAGATCACCTCGAAGTCGGGACTGCCGGGCGTGGGAGCCATAAAACCGTCGCCCAGATTGACAAGCTTGACTTCAATATCGTAATGCAATCTCGGCGGTGCGGGCGTAGTCTGTTCTTCGATTTCTGAACAAAGGAACGATGTTATTCGAAGCAGTCTGTGATACTTCGAACGATAAAAATAATTCATTATATTAACATCAAACCGATTAACAGTTTAAACTGCCAATGTACGATGCAAAAGCTTCGAGACGAACAAAAAGTAAAATTTCGTATTAACAATTAAATTAAAGAAAAACTAGCTCGAAGAGGGTTGTGATTAAATAACGTTCGCACAGTAATTTTTAAAAAGAAACTGTTATATGAAATAATAATATAATAAATATATCGTTAATTGCACGCGTGAAAAATTATATCGCGTATCAGTAGGAGCCTTTCAGTACGAGCAACAAAAGTGCGATAACTTTTCAACGTTACCTTCCAAGCCGCAGGACTTGATACATATTCTATCGGACGAGACAACCGGTTTCGCGTCGTGCTTTCGGATCTTCTTATTGATCGGATTGAATATGCCGCCCTTTACCGGGAACATCATATACAAGCAGTGATCATCCGTGAACGAAAGGTCCCTGCTATCCTTCGTCACGCGCTTCCTCGAAAATCTGAGCGTGGTCACGCCGTTTACGATATGGCCGCTGATATTGTACACGTCCTGCGAGGGATCCAACAATGGTGCATTGTAGCCGCTGATCCAAGTGTCCATCACGAAAGCTCGGCCGTTGCTCTTGTCGACCCAGCCGAGCACGGCGTCGGTTTGCGACTATCAAAATGATAAACAAGCGAGCCTCTACAGTATTATCCATCAAATATACATGTATATACAGAGAGGAGAAATATGTAAAAGATAAGAAATATTTATTCGACGAGTGCCGACAGCATATTTGCTTATACTAATATACGTATTTTTACACTGAGAAATAAGTTTTCTTCAAATATATATTTTCTTAAATCTGTAACTTTACATGAAGGCAATTGTCCATTCTGTTTAAATAAAAAAATTGAGATTTATGTAAATAATATGTTATTAAGACTCCGGAGTGGTCGCTATGACTGTCCTTGTTTAATGACGTCAGAAACGAGAAAACGCATACCGAGATTTTTTGCGTTATACATTCAAATAAAAAGACATATCCACAAAATGAACATGTGTGATCGATTCAGCACACTCTAAAATTGAACGGACACTTTTTTTCTTATTCGAACAATTAATAAATAGTCGTAAAATTAATTTGACACGGAATCTTCTTTTCCAATCTCTTTCCTCATGATTTTGTCAATGTTAATTTTACGACTACTTATTGATTGTTCGAGTAAAAGAAAAGTGTTCTTCCAATTTTACAAGTTTGCTGGATTAATCACAAATGTCATTTTGCGGGTATATCTTTTTATCTATAAATATAAGGCAAAAAATTTTAGCATGCGTGTTCTCTCTTCTAACTAGGACAGTCGTAACGACTATTCCAGAGCCTTAATAACACAGAATAAATATTTCTTTATTTTTTAGATATATTTTTTCTCAATGTATGTTTAGAACTATAATTAGATATATTTTACGGGACATAAATCTCTATATATTTCCTAATTCTATTATTTATGAATAAACAAATCCAGGTTTGGTTAAACAATAACTTCTTAAATTAGATTTCTAAACTCAATTTTTTGTTCGTTCTTTCTCACTGTGACTTTCATATACAAAGAGAGTGTTGAGAATTTTTTAATATTTTAATAATTTATCAAAAAGACACACGCACACACGTATATCCAAAAATGATAAGGTGAGAGGTCATTTACCATACTGCCGTCGTCGGAGAATCCAACTCCGGTCCACGTGTTGGTATTCGTCGTGGATATAACGAACGTTATTAGATCCTACGGAGAAAAATTTCCATGATATTGATTCTGCGCGACGGTGAACGGCTTTGTTCGCTCCTATATCGAGGGAACCACCGAGGAAACACAAGACAAATTACCTTTCTACCCTTGTACGTCCATTGTATGGCATACTCGCAAGTGCCATTCTCCGGCAAGCAATTTCTCGGATAACGCCATTGACCGCCACAGGTACCGTCTTTTAGCGTTACACCTCCGGCGAATTCCGGCTTCTTAGCTTCGTCTGAAACGATCGATGCACGTGTTCACCGTATAAAGCACGCTTCAAGACACTATTCAATGGCCGGAAAAAAATGAAGTGAAAAGGTAACAAATCGGGCAAGACAAAATCCTCGCACGGAAAAACATCTCTCAGTTCCTACAATTGAACCACATTTGACCAGGTAGAACAGGACGTCAAAATGATGAGAAAATGACTACAAAATGACTACGATCATTTTCTCATCATTTTGACATGGTCGTTATTTTCTGTTCTACCTGGAATAGAGACCGGATGAAAAATTCGGTGATGAAAAATTATATGAAATGATAATCTCTGTTACTGCTCGGGAAAAAAAGATAATATATATGAAATTTGCCCGTATATGACTATATATAATTATATATGTCCACAACGAAAAAAGATTGTTGTTTACAAATTATCTACAAATACAATCGAAATAAATGCTTCTGGCTTGTGCTTCTGACAGCACATTTATCGACATTTAATTAAATGACAAAGCATCATTTTTTTTCGTGTAACCACATATATGGGCAAAATATATGTATGGTTTTATATAATCATATATAATCATTTTTGTCAAAAGAACTGTTTCCCCGCGCAGGAGTGGAAATATAAATATTTCCTATCGGGGAAAGATATAGAGAGACCAATCGTGCGACGCTTGTCGATATCTTCGAAAGCTGGGCATTTCACATATCGTTAAACGTGCACACCGCCTCATTGCGGCCCGGCGAGAGGCGGCTTCGTAATGGTTTTACGACACAAGTGGCGAGCTCCGGATGTAAAGGCTTCGTTCTTACCGAAGAAATTCATCGTCGCCGTGCCCCGCTGCATTCCATGCCCGTGATATTTAAGCTCGTCGACCTTGTAGAAGTCTTTGACGCTGACCTTGGCCTTTTCGATCCCGCTGGCTGGCTGATGCACGTACTTGCCGGGCTCTTGACCTTTCGCCCAAATCACCTGCATACTGCTGTCGCGGATCTCGTGATCGGTCGGCTCGATCACGGCCAATTTCCTGCGGAAGAGCATCGTCGTGACGCCGTCGCGCTCGTAACCGTACGCGGCCGTCAGGCTGTCCCTTCCGCCCCAGTATTCGTCCTTACGGGGCGTCGACCTGTCTCTCGTGTAATAATCGCCGATCCTGTAACTCGTCCCTCGCGCCATCCCGATGATGATGTCCGTGCAGTCCATGGGATTGAAGTCGTGCTTGGGTGTGTACCTGTGCCCCGGCGCCGGTAACGATGCTTCGGAGGATGTGAGGGCACAGATTTGATTAACGCTCGATTAAGCGCGGCTGACACGCAGGTATTGTACAATCGTGTGGAACGACAATGATGATATTGAACAATGCACTGAAATGCGTCCGATGTTTCGCAAGTTTCGCTACTCGAACCTGCCGTTTCCGTGTATGTCGTGAAAGTCGTATACGACTCGGCTTTACAGCTGGTACAGCATAGCGTTTAGAGATTTACAGATTTCATTCTAGCTTCTCTTATGTTTCTGATTATTCAAAGTATTGCCTTATAAAATTCGCCGTCTCGTTGAATGCACATTTCAGTCGTTCGATACAGATTAATTACAATGATTTACAGGGTTTCTGTTTTTCAACATCCGAATGGTGATTCTTACGTATTTTTGCCTGCTAAACGCGAATCTGTTGTTCAAATTTAGCTTGGTCACGTCACAATTTTGGGAGAAATAGCGTCAAAGTGGCCAAAAAACGACGATTTTGACGGTTTTCATAATGTTGCATTGTCAAGCTAAAAATGGACATTTTTATGAGGCATTAACGAAATTTGAAAACAATTTTGTTACTAACAATACATCATGAGAACACTTAAAATTGTCATTTCTAGCTATTTTAACGCCATTTCCCTCAAAATTGTGACATGATAGCCAAATTTGGACAACGAATTCGTGTTTAGCGAGTGAAAATACACGGGGAATGACTGTTCGTACTCGAGAAACAAAAGAAAAAGATCAAATTTTGTCGGACGGTGTTATCGATCCGAATGAGATGAGTCGATGTTATGGTGTGTTAAATGCGATGTTAAATGGTGTCCTACGGTGTCGGAGTAATTGTGATGGGTAGAGATCGAGACACGTGCTTATTTCGTGTCGAAGTAACAGCATGCTGAATCCGGAAGTTACAAAACGGTATTTACAGGGGGGAGGGAACGTCGGGGGTGAGCGATTTCGGGGCATGAAGCGTTAAGCGTTATCGATATTATCTACAGGTTTTTGTTTATCTTGGTTCTATCGCTGCGCCAAAAGTATCCGGAGTGTTGCGTTATACTCGATCGGCGATTAATAAACAGGAATTCGCGCGGAGTCAGCGCAGTTGCATTAACATTTCGCAATTTCGCAGTGCCGGAGGAAGCGGCAGATGTCGCGCGGACACATTATTCTCGCTTCTTATCAACAACGCTAATTACGCTTTCTCAGCAAACATTTACCGTTGCGATCCTCACGTTCCAGTTGCGCGAACTTTTCCCGGCGGCCTTACGGGTCTATCGTGAAAGTCGCGAATACCGAAAGTAATGAGTGAAGTACATACTACTGATCACATTGTCGAGATGTCCAGATGGCTGTAACTACGAGAGATTTCTTTTACACTTCATCTCAATTTCTCTTCGTCAAGACTTCGTATGTTCATATGAATGAGAAGTACGCTCGAAAGATACATCCTAGTCACGATAAATGTAACGACTGCATTTAAAAATTAACATGAACTTGTCAAGATTTCTAGTTTGGAACAATCTTCTTGTTGTCGTCACTCAAAGACGAGAGAGAGAGAGAGAGAGAGAGAGAGGAGCTGAGAAAAATCTCTAGTAGTTCGAGAGTTAATGACGTAAGAGCGTGGGCGATGTATGCGGAAACAAGCGTTAAATCAGTCCTCGTTACCTTTCGTCGCTCCCGACTTCGGACCCACACTTGGCTCCGGTTCCGAGCTGGGTTCCGGTACAGAACCGGGTTCTGGATTCTCGGATTTTGGCTCTGGCTCGGATTTCGGTTCTGGCTCAGAGCTGGGCTCAGGCTCGGATTTCGGTTCCGGCTCAGAAGTGGGTTCAGGCTCGGACTTTGGTTCTGGTTCAGAGGTGGGTTCTGGCTCGGAATTTGGTTCCGGCACGGAACTCGGCTCCGGCTCAGAGCTTGGTTCCGGTTCGGAGCTCGGTTCCGGCTCGGTTTTTGGTTCTGGCTCAGATTTCGGCTCAGAGCTCGGTTCTGGTTCGGAGCTCGGTTCCGGCTCGGAGCTCGGTTTTGGCACAGAGGTCGGTTCCGGCTCAGAAGTCGGTTCCGGCTCAGAGCTCGGTTCCGGCTCAGAGCTCGGCTCCGGCTCAGAGCTCGGTTCCGGCTCAGAAGTTGGTTCTGGCTCAGAGCTCGGCTCTGGTTCAGAGATGGCTCCCGGCTCGGATTTTGGTTCTGGCTCGGATTTCGGCTCTTGACTCTCGACGTGAACGCTGGACTCGACGACCGGTTGTTTCCCTGTGCAACAAAGCATCGTACGTCGTGCCGACTACCTACTTACAAGGGCCGTCACCTGGTGCGTCGTGTCTCGAAGGGATGGAGTTCGCTACATACACTACTGGGATTTCGGGGCGGGGGGGGGCTACTAAATATTGCTACTGAGTTCTTGAGCAAGCGAGCGACTCATCTGAGAGAGCTGTTCCATACATTAATGTCATACATACATACCGTTCGCGGATATCGAGGTCGGTTCTGGGGATCTTCGTCGGCGACCTGCGTAAACAAAATGATTATAAGAGCGTCTCGCTGGAAGCATTGAAATGCGACGAGACCGCTTCGTAAATAATCATTCTTCTCGCTCTTTGAAACGGAGCTTAAGTTTTCTTTTTTGCGGTAATCGCCATCGTTAACATCCTATTATGCGATACTTAGCGAATGGTGAAAAAATTCCTTCTTTGAATAATATCCGAGCAACTTATTCCTCATCTATGGACAAAGACGAACACGTGTGTACTCTCGCGATTCTCACACCGGTGCGTGTTCTTTTTGTCCGCTGCGTGTAAGCATGTCATTATATGCGCGTTATCATTTTTCCGCGACCGGCGTTCACGTAATTATCACGGGCTCCTTGAACCTTGCGCGATCTCGATCAAATACAACGCGCTGGAATACACATTAACGTGCCAACGGTAATAGTGTGCTATTTATTGTATGCGTGCTGCGTATTGAAGAAGAAAAAGGCAGAGATGCGTCTTGAGATCGCGCTGCTAAACGTGTTTCTTCCTACTTTTTATTGTGGAAATAACGTAGACTTCGTAAACATCCTCGTACAGAAATACCGCGCGTCGCACACAGCGCAAGATAAATTTCGAAAAAAAAAACTTGGAAAGAACCGTCGATTCGTGTGTACGCAGCGTCTACAGTCCTCGGCCGTATTATCAGACGCACTTTAATTTTTTACGTTTCATCATGACTTCCGAGGACCGGCTTTATAATACGGCACATCTATCGATCGAATTGTTTTAAGGAATCATTATTCCTAAATCTCTGTTATAAAAAGCATTTTTTACGACGTCATTTCACTTGGCTATTACAATGACCTTGAAAAAAATACGAACTCACATTGTCGATAATAACGAGAACAGACGTGAGTTCCGAGTGTGTCAATTGAAATCTAGTTTTATTTCCGTTTATTTGTGACTTCAAACTTCAAATTCCTTGCTTACTGACAGAAAAGTACATTTTTGTGTGAAAAATATTAATAATGTTTACAGAAATTGTGGGTAAAACGAGTGGACACCTCGGAAAGTGGCAGAGGTGAAAGCGCCGAAATTATTCATGACTGACACACATAATTGACACCGAAATTATTCTAATCGAGTAAATATAAAATTCGTAGCTTTTTTTCTCCTCCTAACCTATTAAAAAAGATCAAAGTGTCTAATAATGTAGCCAGGGATTGTAACTTCCTCCTTCTATAATGCATCGCAATGACAAATATTTACTTATCACGCGAGACATCAATAATGCGACGGTGAAGCGGCGATGAAGCGGCGGCGAAGCGAGGGGGGGGGGAAACAAATAATAGTCTCTCACCTTGCTTCGTGCTGACTTGATAAGTCACGCTGGTTTGCACGGTAACGTCGAAGTCCGGTCGCGACGTTAAACTGAACGTCGTGGAGTCCGCTTTGGCCGATCTCCTCTTCGCCCCTGATTTCTCGGCTTCCAGGCCGGGCTCAGCCTCCGGTTCCGGTTTCGGTTCCGCATGAGGCTCCGGCTTGGATGTCGATCTCGGCTCGGCGACCGGTTCCAGTTTCGGTTCCGGTTGCGGCAGCGGCTCGTCCTTCGAGCGATCCTCGATCTTCGGAAAGGATCGGCAAGTCGGGCCCAGGTCGCTGGGCCGCCAACCGATTGCGATCCACGTAGTTGAGTTCGCTATGAGGACACCTTCCAGCTCCCTGATGTCTTTCAGGATCCTCCAGTAGAATATGACGTCGTCAGAGAAACGCTTCATCGTGTACGCGCCCATGTCCACGTCGATGCTCTTCACCGGTGATCCTGGGAGCGAGATCGGGGAAGCGGAAAGTCATAGCTGATTTCACTCGTCGGGACTCGTCGTAACGCTACGTAACGCTCGACACCCTCTCGATCGTTCGATTGACGTCTGTTAACGCTGACGCCGGTTAAAATTGCTTTTGCTTGTAAGAAGTTGTTCAAGAGCGACGGCTCGTTAAATATAACCGCTCGTTACGTAACGAAAGTTTGCGGTAAGCCGATTGAACCGTCCAGCTATTAGCACGTCGAATTTCAATGCATCGCAAGTGCGCCGAATAATTCCGAATACGTGAACGATGAAGCATTTAGCGGATGCCTCTCAATGCCTATCGTCGATTTAAACCGTGTGTTATCCCTTAATTATAATAATTCCTTAGTCATGCGGAGAAAAGTTTGATCGAATTTGCCAGACAGTAAAGACCAAACCAAACGCGTTTTGCTTGAAGAAAACGGAATTTCCGACTGTGAGAACTTAATTTGAGTCATAAGAACTAGAGGTCCCGTCTCCTTCGACCGAAACACGTTTGATTTGTTCAACCTGTTTGGTAAATTCGATCGAACTTTATTACCATGCGTTAATGAAATATTATTCATATGTCTGGTGTACACCTCGAAACTAATTAAGAACTCCGGTTTATACCGAAGTTTAAAAGCCGCCAAACTCGATTTAACAAGGCAAGTAAGGCCAGAGAGAGAGAGAGAGAGAGAAGCGTATCGAGTATCTCTTTAATACACTTAACGGAATGCCATTAAAATATCTCAAACCTCTTCGCGCAAAGAAAGCACTGAGAGAGAATTGTAAGGCGCGACCACGTTTATTTGTTTTTTTTTTTTATTTTCTTTTTGTCCCGATATCGAACGACAAGCCGGTGGAACACCGGTTTAGCACGAGTGTCCCAGAAGCGGCGTCCCCGCGGTCCGATGGCATGCGAGAAATTCCCGCGTAGGAATTTCGCACGGCGCGCGCGCGCGCGGAGAAACTTACTCTTCGCGCAACCCGGGCCAAACCAGCCGGTGTTGCAGTAGCAGTGCTTGGTAGGCGCGGTCGTGCCGCCGTTGTCGATGCACGTGCCCTGAATACCGCAATCCGAGTCGTCCAGGCACTCCTCCTTAAATTCGCACCTCGCGCCGTGATAGAGACGATCGCACCTGCACTTGCCCAGTAGGTAACGTCCGTGGCCGCTACAGTCCTCGTGGTAAAGTTTCTTCTCGAGGACCTGCCGGACGTTAGAAATGTTAACAGTCATTCTCCAGCAGAAGCTGGAGAAACATTCACGGAGACCTTACAATGCAAATGTATATATGCGGTGTCATTGGCCGTAATTCGTGTTGTAACCGACGTGAGATCCGTGCGCTAATTGGCACATGCGGAATCGGATGAGAGGTGGAATGATTGCTGCAGCAATAAGTGGAACAGATTCCGAATGACAGATCGCGACGCGTGTGGTAATTTCGACGCGTGCAAAGGAAGCGAGAGATGCGACGATCTCATATTTTCATTCCGCGCGATTTTCACGAGATTTACTTTCTTCAGACAATTAATTTACCATGTGATCGTAATTGCGATTTCCCTGAAAATCGATTCGTGATTTGTATTTTCTATTGTTTGTATACAACAGTCTGTTCTCTCGGCGAAAATGTCCAATCGTCGAGTCGCCGAGTCTCTTTGACCGTATCGGCGGGCATTTTCCGCGAGAAATCGGGGAAACTCACGTCGATGTCCGAACACGACCAAAATCTGTAACTGGAGCCCCATTCCTCGGCCTCCCGCTGCAGTCTGACGGTGCAGTCGGTACAGGTGAAATCCGGTGGCAGCTGCACGGTGTAGTTCTGCGCACTGAAAATCCGATATGTTAGGCTTATGATAATGAGGGGTCCGATGGAGATCGCGTCGTCGCGCACTTACGTAGCGTCATTCTCGACAAATTCGCTGTTCTGCGTGACGGGCGTCAAATCGAGCAGAGGCCTGTCGAGATTGTCCAAGATTTGAAGCCGGTAGCCTCCCTGAAAAAGAGAAGATTTAAGCGCGTATAAATGCGTACGGTAATGAGCATCTATTGATCCACTCATACACGGAGAAGAAAAATGATTAATGCTACCAAAATTATAATAATTTTCGGCGTCAACTATATCTTTTTTTTGCTTTAACAAAAATGTAACAACATACATTTTAGATTATTACTACTGATAGTATAATACTTGATATAAAAATGGTTCTTTTGGTTTTTTTCTACGTAGAAAAATTTATTTCTACGTAGAAAATTTTATTAGATTTAATACGCATGTTTGTTTGACTTGGGCTTGTTCGACATGAGAAAAAGATTTCTTCAAATTTAATAAATTTTATTACATTTAAACAAATTTCTTCATCGGCTTGCTCCGAAGAAACTAATGTTTCGAATAATCAGTACGATTGTTAGACTTTTCAACGAACATGTATATCTTAAATAAAAAATTAGTTTAAAACGAAAGATAATTTTCTTATAAAGAAATTATTTGTACCATTTTACATATTTATTGTAACCAGATAAGATTTTATTTAGTTAAAAGATATTATTTCAAATAATAGAGTTCTTTCTGTTAAATAATAGAATTTTCTTGAGTGAGACAATAAAATTGTTTCACTGAAATAAAGAAGTTTTTTTAAATATCTTCTTTAACATAATATTATTTCTTTTAAATAATTTATTTTTAACAGCCATCGTAATGTTTGGATGAAAATATAAAAGAAATATGTTATTTGGCATAAAGAGAGAGAGAGAGAGAGAGAGAGAGAAATATTTACTGTTTGAGAAACCAAATAATCCTGTTTCTTGAATCAAATATTCGTTTGTTTACTTTATTACGAAAGACAAATTTGTTTTAATTAAAGAAATTTTATTAAATCCCAAGAAATCTTTCCCTTTGTGTATGATTCTTTAACTATTCGATTATAGAGCTACAAATACCAAATATTTTTTTCACAGTATAACACGGCGTAAAACAAACTATACGCGGAATAATAGGCTAAAAGGCTCTTAGATAAAAAATCAAAGCGCACGACAACCAATAAGAATTGGATACCGAGTCAAGGTATGCTAAAAAAGTTATATTAATATATAAAATAACGATAAACTCGACGCGTTTCGCAAGTAATTCATCGTTTCATTACTTCGTTTCGAGACTTTCGCTCTCGTGCGACATAAACGAGTTTCCGTGTGCGTGAATGCGAAATCCACAATTCTACCGCGAGTTTCGCGATAAGCAACACATCATCGGCACGATTCAACATCGCGAGGCAGAGCGATTTCGATTCCGGTCTCGAGCGGAATCGGTGCAAGTGGGTCCCGGTCGTTCGATTTCTCGATTTTTTCCCCCTATGAACTGACGAGTTGCAAGAAATGGCCGAGGCGATTCGTTCCGTCGCCGTGATCGACCGCAATAAATCAACAGGTGGAAACTAAAATTTCCCTGTTCTGAATTCACCGGCACGGATAATTGTATTGCGGTTACTCGTCAAAACGCATACTATTACGTTTCATGTTGCCTAAAAAGAAGAAAATCACTTTGATTTCACGTTAATTAACAGAGCTAAAAATCATCATGTCGATCTTATACAGCCCAACATTCGGGGAAATGTTTTGCTGATCCAGTTAGAATTTCAAATGTCACAGGTAAAATGAATCGCTGTTTCCTGTATTTGCTAGAAAATTGTTTGTGGTATCATTTGTAATAGCAGCATTAACAACATATGCAGGAAAATTTTAGTCCTGTTACTAATTTCAAATAAGAAATATGATTGGCTTAAATCTGCATATACTCCACAGAGAGGCTTTCTTGCTACCTTAGTATAATTGTTCAGAAATAAAAATTCTGTCCCTGTCATATATTGATACATATATTGATTACATACAACACATAACATTAAAGTATTTGCTAGTCATTTATCCATCTCAGCTAATTTCTCGTATCAACACAGAGAAAAAGGTTTCTTTAGATTTCTATTTATTTGACTAAAATTTATTTTATAGAAACGACATATACGAAATATGATTTGTTTGAGTAAAAACTTCATTGTCTCATTCAATAAAACTCTATTATTTAACGGAAGGCTATAATTTGAAATATCTTTTAACCAAATAAAATCTTATCGGGTTACAATAAATATGTAAAACGAAACCGGTAATTTCTTTGTAACAAAATTATCTTTCGTTTCAAATTTTTTATTTAAAATAAAGATACATATTCGTTGACAAGTCTTAATAATCGTACTTATTAATCGAAACATTAATTTCTTCGGAGCACGTCAGTGATGAAATTTGGACGCAACAAAATTTATTAGATCTGAAGAAATCTTTTTCTCAGTGTAGATAATTTTCGACTACAAGACCGTTTTTTTGAGTAAAGATAGTTGAATATCTTCCCCCCCTCTCTCTCTCTTTCTCTCGAACGCCCGGATAGTCACTCGGACAGATATTTATCTCGATTCCCGGCCGTGAATAATAACTGAAAGATGCGGATATTAGCCGGATTCTGGCACGAATGTGTCCATCGTCCAGACGTTCTCGCCGGTACCGCCGGTCGGGATAGCGGTATATACCGAACACGCTCGCGTCATACGAGCGTGTCATACGTGCTTTTCGCGCGAGTGGTCACTCCCGTTGGCGTTCGACCGCGAACGCGATCCTCGCAATGTTCCCGCTTGCGAAACTCCGCCGGCGGCTTTGCGAAACGTGCGCCGAATTGAGAAGAAAACGACGTCCGCGCGACGACGACGACGAGTCGCGGGTCGCGGGAGTAAATGACGAGATAATGACGGCCGAGCTAATGACCGCTTGTTCTCGTCCAGCCGATTGATATGCGCCACGGGTTTGCGACATCGTGAGACTCTTCATCGCGATCGAGCGGCCGCCGCAGCCCCCTCGATAGAGAGAGAGAGAGAGAGAGAGAAACACCGTTAGGAAAGCGCGCGGTGAGCTCATGCGATGCCGATGCAAGTTCATAAACGCTTGAATTGAGTAACATCCGCGTCCGTCCGTCCGTCCGTCCTACTACTGTCCGTAGGCAGGGATAACGTGTGGATTATCGCTAGGCGATATCTGCGATTAACGCCGCCGCAAGCTATTGTAACTTAATCGCCGTACGTAACACCGGCAATCCTGATTCCGGTTATTAGCGATTTTAATGGAGGACGTCGGCGCGCCCGCGCTCCTTAGCCTCGATATGTTCATGTCGCTAGAACGCGCTGTGAACCGCCAAGGGCTTTCAATTTCTTAATGAGGAATCTATAGTATCTAAATATATCCCAGAACGCACGTGAATTCACTTTTTCATATTTATTTATTTATTTTATCCACCGTATCTTCCGGCCGGGGAGTCGATATTACGCACGTAAGACGTTATCGCTTGCTATATTTTCGGTACACAACCGCATTCTTGCAATCCTCGATTTCCAATTTTTCGATAAAGGATCTCTACGTTCTAGAACACACGTGAATCTACTTCTCAATCGTTCATTATCTATTTTATCTACCGGTATACCTTCTGGTTAGGAAATTAGTATTACGCATATAAGACTTCGATCGCTTATCAAGTTTCCGGAACTGCGCACGGAGAAAAAGGTTTCTGCTGGCAGATTTTTGATTACCACAGTGACGGTGGAAAGATTCGTTAATAATATCAATTGCTATTTGCCGGATACATGGACGGCAAATTAATTTGGTTTAAACGCCGAATGTAAATTTGATCGCTGCAGCAGCGACGTCTCGTTACAGCAGCGAAATGGTTTTTTTCCGTGTGACAAATCCTTTCGCCGTCGCAATATTAACGAACGAATGTCCCGGCAAAACTCGTCTTCTCCGTGCGGAGTTTTTTCAAGCGAAAGAATCACACGCACGACTCTGGACGTCTTCCACTGCAGCCGACGGGATGTTCGAACGGCCGTCGCGCGAATCGGCGAAAGACGGAGGGCGAAACATGAAACGGTGCTACGCCGGGACGGGGAAAGGGAAGAGACGGCAACTCAACGACGCGGTACCGCTTCGCACGACACACACCTGCGCCTCTTTCGCGATGTTATTGCCGAATTTTTCTCGTGCCGCGGATATTTTCGAGCGCGCAGGCGAGCGCTGCTTATCCGGCGCGCGCAGGATTTTAACGTCAGTCGTAACGCGATTCGCGCGAATGTTTATTGCGCCGTTTCTTTCATCCCGCGGAACGTTAACGGCTCGCGAGCGAGGCTCACGCTGGATTCGCCTGCCGCTGAAATCTACCTGCCCTCTTAAAAAGGATTACACGTTTCATATGCATATCTGTGAGAGAAATCTCTTCTCCTCGCGTTATCGGCAGCAGCGCCCCGCGACTGCCGATGTTTTTCTTTCGCGAATCCGCGTNGGGGGGGGGGGGGGATTTGACGGAACGCTTCCGACATTTTAATTTGTTCATGACATCATCCATATGAGGCAGTTTCTTAGTTAAAGTGCAATATATTCGCCGGGAATGATTTACAAACCGGCTGGTACGATCGTGTATTCATTGATCTGCAAGTGATTTTCGTGCCTTACCTTTTTAATCGGTAGCCGATTCTCTCGTATTTCTCCGAAAATTCTCCTACCATTTAATAACAGAACTATTTCTCTAATCAAAAACTTACCAAAGAGAAAGGTCGATTCAAAATTAACCGATGTATACTGAAGAACTCACTTGGTTGAATCAACAAAATTCTTGTTCGAATATGGGCGAACAAATGTTTTGGTTTTTTTTTTTAATGTGTTGGTTATAAGAACCAAATCTGGGTTCCTATAATGAAATCATTTGTTTGCCCATATCCAAACAGAAATTTTGTTGATTCAACTGAACGGATTTCTTAATATATTATCTACACATAAAAAAAAAGAAATGGAAATTTTGCGAAATAAATGTTTCCCGTGACATTTCCTTCAATATTTATCGGTTGGAAAAGATTTGACTGTGATGACGGAATATACATTTTTGTGAAATATACCAAAGTTTTCTTATTAATTCATCTTGGTTTATTAGTTAGGAATACAATTTTGTTTCGCTGTATTTAAATAAGACCATTCTTTTGTCTTTCTTCCGACGCACCTATATTTGACCGTAGGACTAGTCGTCTAATAAAAAACTTACCGGATAGCAAAATCGATTGAAAATTAACCGATGTAATTTCTACTTTCCCGATGGTACACTAAACACTCAACGTGTAACGCGGTATCGTCGAATCTCCAATTCCTTTTTCTTTTCTTCATCGGAGCAGCCGATTTTCTCATCTTCCTTTCGTAAAATTAATCCTCTGATGAGAATCTTGCTAAAGAGCGAGATCGGCCGAAAATCAACCGATGTATCATTTACTTCCCCCGACGGTACGCTGAACAGTCAACGAATAACTCGCCGATAAGAAGGCGATGCCGATAAGAGCGCGGCGTGGTGATTGGATTTATTCTAACCGCGCGCGCCGACCGGGGGGACCGTTTTTCCGAGCACGGTTGCATGCAAAGACGACGAAGCCGCTCTTGTGCTGCACGCCTGGCGGAACGTAAGCCTAAGGCTAAGAATCCGGCGGTTTTGCACGCTAGCCGAGAGGCGACGCCTTCGTGCTCGAGCGATCGTCATCGGCGACGTTACGGTACTCGGCATACCGATCTGTTCTATCGAGGCTCGCGAGCATCGTGTTCTACGTATGCGAGGCTGCCTTGGCTCTGCCTGCATGCCTGCCTGCCTGCTGTCTATGCCGCCTCTATTCGGCCTACTCGTAGGCCGCATACCTACGAGAGAGGCCATGCTCGTGAATAATTCAGTGCGCATCACCTTGAGCGACGAGCACGCGTAGGCAGAGAGAGCCTCTTCGGCCGTCGTGCTCTTTTCCTTTCGTAGCCACCACGTGCGGACAAATTCGTAATGTCCTGCGGACGGCGTCGAGGGGCCTCGTACTCGTTGAATACGAACGACCGGCGCGGCGATTACCGTCGAGGACGCGAAAGAACGCGCGTTTTCTCGTTACGCTCGCTCCGACGTGTGTGACGCGCCATGGACAATGGGGGATCTGTTATTTTTAAACACCGAGAGACTGATGCCTCAGAGATGTGCAATGAAGATGATAGGATGTTGAGAGCGCCCGCAGGAGCCCCGTGTGCTTGGAGATCGGTGCGCGTATTTTGTTTAAACACTAATTATTTATAATTTAACATTATGCGTGTTAATGATAATTTCGTATTAATTTTATTTATGCGTTAACCATTTGATCCATTTGTGTTCGACACATTTCACGTGTCCTGGACGGTCTACGCCAATTATTTAAGTGTTAATTTAACACAAGGTGAACATGTCGAAAAAGTAACACGAATATGTGAAAAGAGTAATACAAAATTAATATCTACGATATGTTAGTCGACACCGTGAAGTGTAAAATATGTTGTTTTAACACTTATACTTGTTGAATATCGACAAAACATTGAGATAACATAAACACAATATGTTAAATTGATACACATATGTATGTTGTATGGTGAAAATTTAATACGAAAGCTTGAACAAGGGCCGATTTTAACACAGGTATAAAATGTTTTCTTACTGTGCAGTCAAACTCGCAAATCTCGCGAACGTTTCTGTCTTCGCTTCGGTAGATCCTTCTCAATGTTATGAACACTAAACCTCTGACCTTACTGTTTGACGACGCAGTTATGGCACCTGTGCCGACTATGTAACACCTCTGACAATTCTTCACACAATGAAAATGAAAATACGCGCATTGATTTCTAACGCGCGAGTCTTACGGGCTCTTAATATTACATTATCTTGATTATGTGTCTCAGTCATTAATCTTGAGAGGAAGACAAATATTTAGCCACAAAATCGCGGCTGTGGGCTCTTATAGGCCATGGTCGCATACACCTTAACACAATACCATCTTAACTCAGTTATTTTCATCGTAGGTCGATTTCCGCGGATTTTTACTCGCGTTCCGCGCTTTCGTAATAATTCAACGAAGACACAACGCGCGCGTGCATGATATCACCTGCTCGTGAGTGAAGTGACGGGAGGGATAATTAGGGGACGAAATTACGAGAGTAATAAAAGGAGCAAGATATAAAAATACGCCCGATTATTGGAAATTACGATAATGAGACACTAAAGGTTTACGGCCTTCTAAGCTCTTGATAGCAGGCGATTGATGACGCGTGATGCCTAACGGCGCGGCAATGCCTTCCGCGAAGGCTCGTAAAGGTTTCACTCTTTTTCTCTCTCTATCCCTCTTTCTTCCTCCCTCCCTCCCGTCTTCCCTCCCTCCCTCGTATTTTAATAAAGAATGTTTGTGCGTTTACGATCCTGTAATTTTTCGATAGCGCATAATTCCCCGACGATGCTCGATGCTTCGCGGGGCCGCGAAGTCGATAACTCGCCTTTCCGCGCGAACGCTCGTAATAAACCCTCTCTCTCTCTCTCTCTCTCACTCTCGTCGATCGGAGAAATGGTAAAAATCGCTTTCGATAAAGTTACGTTGCACCGGCGTTCACGGTCCTACGGAGGTTTCGATAACACGAGCGGCTGTCTCGTTAATCTTCAACGCTTCGCACACCGATAATGCTTTCTCTCTAGTAGAGAGACTCGTAAAGCTTTCTCCTTCGGTCGAGAGGGCCTTCGGTAGGAATCGTGTGCGTTCAATAAGATCGCGCGCTTAATCGATACACACACATACTCGTCCGTACGGACGGCAATTTAAACGGACGCGGATTTAAATCTAGATTTAATCGCTCCGGAGAATTGCGTGAAATCTAATTTTAGCCGGTCGGGGGAGCCACGGACAGCCGTCATTACGAGACTCGGCGGGTACGGCGCGAAAGGGTTAATTACCACGTGATAGGCCTCAGAATGCCTCGAAGTGCATTGCGCGGATACCCGCGGCGCACGAAGAATGCCCCATTATGTCGAATGCGTCCGCGCGGAGAGGAGAGGAGAGGAGGAGGGCGGCCGGGAAGTTGAGCGCCGGGAGAAAGCAGCCCGCGGACGCGAAATAATATAAAACGCAGGCACGATTTTATCCTCCCCCCCCCCNNNNAAATAATATAAAACGCAGGCACGATTTTTTCCCCCCCCCCCCCCCTATCACGTAAACCGTAACACGACTTTTAAAGAGTTTCGGCCGTCTTCGAACACAGTGCGCGCGGATGTGTAACGCGCGAGGAATCGAAGCCGACGGCGCCGGCGGTCACGTTTTGTTTTCCTTTCTCCGCGCGCGAACGCGCGAAGTCCGGCGCAACGTGTGCGAATGATAATTTGTGCGTCCACGAAGAACGTGTCGTTCTTCCTTCTTATTACGCGAGCTGGCGAGCGTGCTGCGTTAACATCGCGACGCGATAAAATCGCGCTCGATATTATCGTAAACGGTACGGCGAGTCACGCCGGATAAAAATTTTAATAACCATCCTAAAGTCAGCCAGCGTCTCTCAGCACGCCAGGCCACAACTTCGCGTCTGAGCGAGTATAGTTGTTTAACGTGCTCGAGGAAGTCGTGCTGATAGACCCGCGCTCGATATTCGAGAAATTTCCGCCTCTCCGCAATTAATTAATTTCCTCCTTGTCCTTCCTTCGGAAACTTTCCACAAGTGTCGCCTCCTTCTCTTTTCATTCCGCGTTAATTCCGACGGTTTGATCCGTACTTATTCGTCACGGTGTTGCGGCTCTTTACGGTCGGTACTTCGTATAAACTGAATATATTACAAAGAAAAAAAAAAACAAAAGAATACAACTAAAAAACTGCATTGAAAAAATCATGATTCAAACAAACTTATTCAGAAGAATTGTACTTCTTAATATTCTACTGAATATTCTATTGAAAAATACCGAAAAACCAAAAAAGTTTAAAATAATTGTATTAAAAGAGTTGTTACCGAGAGAAATTGTTATTGCAAAAAATACAAGAGAAACAACTCAACAAAGAAATGGTACTAAAAATATTATTTGAAGAAACCTCCCTCATCAATAGTTGTTCATATTTGTCTTTTTTGTAAAGGTGATAATATCAAAAGATTTATGCCAAATGCGAATAATTAATCATTAACATTTCAATTTTCAATTTTACAAACACAAATTGTTCTAGCTACGTAAAAATTTGCAGGTTAAAAATGTAGAAGCGTTGTATAAAACTTCCAGTCGGAAAAGCTTTTGTACAAAAATTTAATATTTTCTTATACTTTCTACGCAGAAATAACATCGAGAGGTTTACATGATAAATTAACGACGTTTTATTATATTTCCTGCTTTAATGGTTTTATACTTTTCTCAGTCTCATTTTTCGTTTGTTTTGATCCATTATATAGATCGACATTAACATAACGCATTTTGATATTATATATCTGCATTTATTTGTCACAGTGTTACGATTTTTTATAGCCGGTATTTCGTGTAACCTGAGTATTTATAATTGCGAGCGCTTCTTCGTTCGCTTCGATGCGTTTCCCAAGGCGCCTTTCTGGTGCACGCAGAGAAAAAGATTTCTTTAGATGTAACATTTCTATTTATTTGACTAAAATTTGTTTCACAGAAACAGCATCTACGAAATATTATTTCTTTGTAAGAATTTTATTGTCTCATTCAAGAAAACTGTATTATTTAACAGAAAGAACGCTGCTATTCGAAATAATATCTTTTAACCAAGTGAAATCTTATCTGGTTACAATAAATATGTAAAACGAAACAATTGATTTCTTTATAAGAAAATTATCTTTCGTTTCAAACAAATTTTTTTATTTAAGATAAAGATACATATTCGTTGAAGAGTCTAACAATCGTGCTTATTAATCGGAACGTTAGTTTCTTTAGAGCATGTCAATGATGAAATTTGTTTGAATGCGATATAATTGATTAAACTTGAAGAAATCTTTTTCTCGGTACGCGTAAGGATAGGTTTGAGGCTCGTGTAACGCGGAAGGAGAGGATAAAAAGGTTCAAAGGACTCGCGGGAATTTTACTTACCCTATGGGGATAGGCGAGGTGCCACGTGACGCTGAAATTGCTTCCTGCCAGTAACGACGTCTTGACGCTGCCTGCAAAAACAAAGCGGAGTTATCGAAATTAGAGTGTGACCGCGAGAGACGGGGGTTTCGCGCGAGAGAGCGGCGAAGTCGGACAATGATAAATCGCCGTTCCGCTCTATCGCCGATTAATCACGAAAATTCGTCGCTGTTAAGGCGATCCCCGGCCTCGTTCGGCTTGCTCACTCGTCGCGACAACCTGTTTCGGAGGTCACGTACTTTATTCCTAACGCCGGCTATATCACGACTTACCGCGGACGTCGCTGGGAATTTTCGCCGCGAGACATCTACCGCCTATTAATTACTCAGCCACCGATTAAACGCACTTTCGATACGCGCCGACGTTGAAAAATCATGCTGTTGCACCAACACTAACGGTAAATGGTGAAACATTCGATTCGTTGCCGTCGGAAACCGCGTGACGCTAATTATCCGCATTCGTCGGACAGGTATTTACAATCAATGGAAAATATAATATTTCGCGACTCTTATTTTCCGAGCAATTTCAGGAGACTAAATTAACGGGCAATCCGGCAATATGTGTGAAATTTTTTTTCACGCGTATAACATTATTGCCGCTTATTATATAATTGGTTAATTAACTCTCTCCGATATTTTTTTCTACTTCTTATTATAGCCGAGCAATTACTCCGGATTGCGTATGTATTAATTCCTTCACGGTAACTCCCCCCCCCCTCCCACTCTCTCTTTCTCTCTCTCTCTCGTTCTCGTTCTTTCTCTCTCTTTCTCGCGTCGAGCGTGAGACGTGGCGAATCTTCGCAAAGTTTATGCACTAATTTAATATAAATGCAAATAACCGATTATCTTGCGGCGCTTTTAATCAACTTTTCCAGAATTATCATACCGCTACCTTCCGCTTCCCCGAGCGTCTCCGGAAGGAAAGCGGTTCTTCTCTACCACTGGCCGAGCGGGGCCGCCGGAGCGGCTCGATTAAATTACGGCCGCGGAAAGAAAAATTTATTGCCGCGGTTGCACGCCGCTCGGTATGCGTTCTCTATAACGCAATCGCATCGCCGGCTCGCCTAGTCAAACTTCGGCTGAGCGAGTGAATTTTGGTCGGCTCGTTTCCAGCTGAATAAAAATCGAATGCAAAGCGAAGCAGGTGACGTCGGTAAAACCCGTGAAAAAATACCCGTGAAACCTCGCAGTTGCGTGGGAAATTTCGCGGCAACTCTTCGCGCACTGAGGAAAATATTTCTTCGAGTTCATTAAATTTTACCGCAACTAAACAAATTTCATCTATTGACGTGCTTTAAAGAAACGTTTCGGTTAATTGTCGGACTTTTCAACGAATATGTATCTTCATCTTAAATAAAAAATTCGTTTGAAACGAAAGATAACGTTCTTATAAAGAAATTATTCGTTTAATTTTATATATATTTATTGTAACCAGATAAGATTTTATTTGATTAAAAAATAATATTTCAAATAATAGCGTTCTTTCTGTTAAATAATAGAGTTTTCTTGAATGAGACAATAAAATCTTTCTCGAACAAATGATATTTCGTATATGTTGTTTTCTATGAAACAAATTTTAGTCAAGTAAATAGAAACATTAAATCCGAAGAAACCTTTTTCTCCGCGCGAAATGGAAATTTGTCCTGCGTAGAAGAGATTATCCAGAAATTACAATACAAAATATATATCGAGACAACCACTTTCTGCCGAAATGAAAATGCGATTTTTAATTGTTTCTCCCTTTTCTCTAATACGTACATGTAACTACGTGTCACTTCTCTGCAGAATGTTGATGTTAAATAATAGACATTTAAAGCCTAACGACGCGGTGCGTTTCTGAGATACGCCTAATAATCACCCGCGATATAATAAAACAACGTTTGCAAACACAAAATATAAACGTGTACCGTGATATTTCTAATTAGTAATGAGCGGCGGAGCGGACGTAAATGTCACTGCGAACGCAACCGCACGCGTCACGCTTGCGTCCGAACCGCAATTTTCCGCGACCAGTTTTAAGTTGTTTTTTTCTTTATGCATCGTCACACGTGCGTCCGAATTGCAGTTTTCCGCGGCTAGTTTTAAGTAGTTTTTTTTTTTACGCAATTTCGCAGCGACGACGCGTGAGAACAACGTTGCGTCTGAGGTAAGCAGCGAGGCACGGATTAATCACCGACGCGTTGAAGATGATGAGGACGCAAATGAACGTCGCAGAATCGGCGCACGGAAAAAGTCGGCGCGAACGTGTCTTCTTTTGTTAAGCTAACGAATAATTCGAGTTCGCCTCCGCCCGCCAGCGTAATAACAGGTCTCTTTCTCTCTCTCTCTCTTTCTCTGTTGCTTACGCAACTTCACGGTACCATCTACGGCGTGGTCTTAATTACGCTTTCGCAAGGAAAAATGACTGATGGTGGGGGGGGGGGAGCCGACGACATCGGACAAGGTAATTGTAACAACATCTATCTCGTGGCGAGCAACAATGTGAAAACGTCAAACGTACGTAATTGCAACGTCTCTTTTCAATTTTCCATCTCATTGGGCTCGCCGGTTAGATCGGTGGTCACGGGGAAAAAAATTGGAGAGGAAAAGAAAAAGGGAATGGTATTACATCGATTTTTCAAAACACGTGTTGCGTATCGTATAAATATTCAGGGCCGCTTCGGCTCCCGCGTTACGACGCGCGCGCTTTCTCGAGACGGCGGACGGAAGTACGGAGGCTTGACTGCTAACTTGGCAATTTAACGAGACGAAAAATGCAAATAAAATAAGAAAGTTAAAGTCTAATTAGAGTTTAACGTCGATATAACAGTGAATGTATTGTCAATATTTTATAATCCAGAAGTCTCTGGAATAATTCCTTCCCGAAATTTTAGTCCTACATTAAGTCTACTTAGTTCTACATAAAGTCTTCAAGCGAAAATGGGAATAATTTCCCATTTGTAGCATCAAAGGGGCACTAATAATGCTCATTTGATGCTACAAAGGTAATTTAGACCTCCCGGGGGAAACTTTAAAACTCTACATTAAGTCCTCAAGTGGAGAAGACGGAAATAACTTCCCATCTGTAGTATCAAAGGGAGCACAATGGAAGACTTTTGAAGACTTAATGGAGAACTGAAATTTCGACTTAGGTTATTTCATGTATTTCAACATAAAATTTTGCATGGTAAATTTAAAACTATGAATCATTCATCAATCTTGGGAGATAAATTCTCGAATTAGATTAATTTTTCTATCGTATCCTTCAGTTCTCTCAAGATTCTGTTATTCAAATTACTATTGTAACATTTTTATTTTTATCTTTGTATTTTGATTATATCTTTGTATTTTTGATTCTGTTATTCAAATTACTATTGTAACATTTTTATTTTTATCTTTGTATTTTATTCACACAAAGTAATCCCTATAAATGCATACTTTTCCGTTCTCATGATATCAAAGGGAAGTTTTTTCCGTGAATCCAAATAAAATAAATAATAACACTAGTGTTAAAAATAAATAATAACAATAATATTATAACTAATGTTAAAATAAATAATAACAATAATATTAATTCGGAAATTCATACGTTTTGGACCTGTTCCAGGCCATCTTCAATCGAGAATGTTCTTATAAATACAAAATAATGTCAAATATACACGCATTATTTCAGCTAACGTAAACAATAACGTAAAAATAACGTAAAAACATAAAAATAATGTAGAAATAACTTAAAAATATTGTAACAAATAGAGCCAATTTATCAAGTCGGACGCTCAATTGATCCTCGATGCTATCCGTTATACTAATACCTCAACATTTCGATGACATATGTACGAAAAAAGTAATACATGTCGACCGTCGCGAATCTAATATTCTTGGACACCTTTTCAGGAGGTGGAGAGAAGAACGACCGCCGAGTCCGAGTTCGTCCTGGAGAGATTTCCACCCTTCGCGCTCTCTTCCGAAAGCGATTCAGACGGAGATGCGGCCCTGGATATATCGGTGGTCGCGGGTACGCGTAAAATGTGGAAGGTAATGTCCCGAGTACCGAGAGAGGTTCCGTGCTCCCTTCATGCAAGTCGGTGAAAGTCGCTTCGAATCGGACCGACTATCCCCACCGGCTGGGAGATCGAGCGTCCGCGTTAATGTCGTTTTCCCATAGAACCTGTGCCCCCCTCCCCGTCGCTTCACCCCGGTATTCAACCCCTCTCTCTCTCTCTCTCTCTCTTTTTCTCTCTCTCTCTCTCTCTATCTATCTATCTATCTATCTATCTATCTCTATCTCTCTTTTTCTCCATCTATCTCTTCTTTTCTCCATCTATCTCTCTTTTTCTCCATCTATCTTTCTCTCTTTCTCCATCTATCTCTCTTTGTCTTTCTCACGTCACGCCTCCGGGGGACGACGAGCGAACTCTCTACGAAAATGCCTGACGCATTTCCGAAGAACGCGCGACATGGCACAGGTCGCACGAGCTATATCGAGAAGTATCGAGGGGAGTGGGGGAGGGGAGGAGGGGACATGTTCGCGTCTTCCGTGCTTTCAGTTTCCGCGTGCGGTCCCCACATTCCAGCGAAGGCTGCAGTTTCGCGTTTCGGGAAGCAGAGGTAGGCTCGAGGCTAATTAACTCTGCCCGCGCAATGTTCATTACGATCCCACCGTTTAGCGATAATTAACGCTCGGTTTTCTTTTATAACGGCACTCGATTCTCTACCCGTCGACGTTCGCTACCATCTACACCGCCGCCGCGGTGGTTTTCACATTCCATCGACGGACTGCAGCAGCAGCAGCGGTGTGTGTACATTTCGGCACCGCTAACGGAGAAAGTTATTCCGGACCTTTATCGAGCGCGCGGGGGCCTTTTTAGTCGTATAAATTGATATCTCATTTGATGTTACGTAAGCGCAAATCATATAGCGCTCCCTAACGCTCGAAATGTGAGATGCCTCGTGGCCGTAATTCCAAAAGACAGATTGACATTTAAATATGATTTTTGTTGTGGAACATCCCGCGCGTCGGATGAATCCGTAAAGTCTGGATATCCCGATAATTACGATCAGTCTTTCCCTGCCCGTTCTCCAAACGCGAACTCAGAATTTTAATTCCGTCATTTATATGTGATTACATGTTTACGTATTGAAATATAAATACTTAAAAAAAATATATGTATATATATTATATATATATAAATTTTTAATCCTTGAATTTAAATACGAATATAAATATAAATTTGAATTCTTATATTTGAATACAAATATATAAACATAAATTTAAAAGTAGAGGGTCAATAAATTTTTGTGCCCTCTCCTGATTCCCATTAAACAATTTTTTTTGTATTGTACGATCGTTACGGGAATGTCAAAAATAATCATTAAATGAGAGAAAAACTCGATCTAATGATTATTCTTGACATTCCTAATGATCGTACAATTCGAAAAAAAATTGTTTAGTGGAAATCGGAAGGGGACACAAAAACAACCTTATTGACCCTCTTTCTTTAAATACAAGTATATAAATTTAAATTTAAATTTATTAAAAATCAAACATTAAATATAAATTGTATAATAATATATATACAAATAAATATAAAATTAGAAAATATAAATTTCAATGTGTGTATTAAATAAATGTCGAGTCTCACACACACACGCACATACACACATATACACACGCGCGCGCGCGCGTGCGGAAAAGATTACTCCGAATCGGGAAGGAGACTAACTTTAAATTCCGAAAACGAAGATAAATGCCGCTCGAAACGTCTCGTTCACGAACGAGCGAAATGACGACGATGATTAACGGTCATAGGGACACTTACCTCGCGGCATACCGCAGGGTGCCGGAGTCCTGGCGTTATCCAGAAAGTCCAGGTCATACTGCCTAGCCTTCGGGAACGTAAGCGCCACATGAGCGCTTGTTGTTCTCCAGGACATCGTCATCAGCAGCAGCAGCAGCGCCAAGGACGACGCGAACGTCGTCGGTCGATCCGCTCTCCCTCGCGACATCTTGCCCCTTCTTCCGCGGGTGCGCGTCTCTGCGGTAAGTAGCCTTTGTGCTCGCTCGTAAAGGACGAAAAGGTCCTTCACCACGCGCTTCCGCGCTTTTCACCGGCGGTTTTTCCTCTCGCGCTCCTGAGACCCTCCTGCTGAGTCCTGCCGTCGACCGGCATGGGCGTCCAGTCGCTCCTGCCCGCGGCCGATCTGAAAGTCGATCGAGCGATGAACTTTGTTATTTACGATCGATCCTCGATCTCGATCGCCGCTTACGTCCCCGCGCGCTTTCCTCGAGGGGATCCGGATCCTGATACGGCGAAGGCGCGTATTCTTGGCGCGCGCGGATAAACGCGGCTGTCTGATTCTCACGTCGCGTACGCACTCGACGTGTCCCTCATGTTAAACGAGTAAAACTCCGGCTCGTGTATTTAACGCTAAATTCGTAGCGTGAAGACGACGACTCGACCTCGCGGAAGGTTTGCGGTTGCAAAAGATAATTGGAGGGTTCGGGAGACGATGACTGACAAGGAAAGTCACGTGGAAGTGTCTCTCGTCGATTCGCAACGGTCTCGAATACAAGTTACAGCAAAGCGGCGAAAAATGGGAGTCTCGTATTTTTTACACGTGCTCTCTCGCAAGTTTCTGGAGTTAAAAGGAGTCTTTCGAGGGAGATTTAGTAAAATTTTTAATTTATTTCAAACGTTACCTTTATAATATATTTAGAATTAGTATATTTGAAGATCTGCAAGGGAAGAGCCTGCGCACGAATATCATAGTGCAATCTAGAGGATTTCAATTTAAATTTTCCTGAAGAATAATCGTGTATGTATTTATATATTTTTCTTTCTCTTGTGTGAAAATATGTGTATAATCATGTTTGATGTATCAAAGGGATGATTTTCCCGTTTTTTAAATAAATAGATAAATAAATAAATAAATAAAATCGATCGTGAGCGAATATCTCCGAAATCGTGAGATGTATGGCCTGTATTAATAGTTATTATTTCAAACTTATTTCAAATCAGATACTCAGATTTTAATTCAGTTAGATTCGAGTTTTTCAGCTGAATAGCGTTTATAGATGTAATATACGATAGATCAAATATACGATTTAACTGAAAAGCTCGGATCTAACTTTGAATTAAAATCTGAGTAGGAGAGACCGGATCTGATTGTCACACTTTTTATGCATTGATTAAAAGAAAAAGTAATATTTCATAATATTGTGTACATCATAATGTAGCCACATATTTTAGGTAAAAGAAAAAAATATTAATCTTATACATATATTTATGCACAAAGAAGTTATTTAATTGTAAACAAGGTCGCGTAAATGTGACATCTCATATTTTGAGTCAATTGTCACATGTCTCATGTAGAAAAAACAAGACAAATAGTTTGTTTAAATGTCGTATTTTAACATTTTATTGAAATTCGTGAGATATTACAATATGTAAAGCTAACTTAAAAAAATTATATATATTTATATATTACATCATTAATAAAGAAACATAAATCATTTTTTTTTATAGAAACTTAAATGCGCCATTAAACTAACCGGATTTACTTTAACGACATTCGGCAATTAGTACGTGTACTTTCACGCACATGTGTAAGGAATATCCCAGCGTGACAACCAGACTTTTACCGATTTTGAATCAATTAATTCCAAACGTTTATTTATAAGAAAAGAGATTATATTTATAAATAATGTTGCAGTATCGACGAATTAAATACTGGAAGAATTAGCAAAGAGTATAATATTTCTTACAAAAAATGAAGAATTGCGATTGGTAATTTTAAAACCAACAGGGCATTAACAATAGGGACGAGAAAAAATTTACTCACGCATCCAATTGAAAAAAGAAAATGCTTGTAAATACCATATGCGATGCTTTAACTAGAAGTCGTTTCGTACATCCAATTAACATGATACAAGCAAGCTACATTATGAAGACGAATATTTTCTTTTATTTATTATGTGAGATATAAGCTTTGTGACTTCCGATTCGTGTGACCTTCAGACCCGGTCTTCCCTACTTCACATGAGACAAGGAGTCAAGTGACAACTATTAACACGGGCCATGAAAACGCGTTTTAGACGAAAGCTTTGTGACATTCGATGCTCTCTTTGAGAACGTGTGTTCAGATCTTATCGATATATGTCACTCTTCATAACACTTCTAAGATCTGCTTTACTTCGAAAGAGAGTTATATCAGCTTACTTAATTCTCATCCCGCACGCTTCAATTATCCGCCGGCTCTCGATCGCATAATCTTCCCTTAGAAGTGCAAGACCGTGTGGCGAAAGTTTCTCTTTTTCTCACGGTGAGGTGAAAAGTGGGATTTCTCGCATGAATCTGCCGAAATTTCGCGATTGGAGGACCGCTATTTCGGCGGACAGACGAGGAATTGCGCACGGTTCTCAGTAGAAGAGAGATTCGCGTGGGATTCGCGAACGGGTGAAAAGCGAAAAGTGGAAAACTCCCGTTGACAATTGTACGATCGGGCATGTCTGGTCGCGGCGTGTTAACTCGCCAGTTCACGGAGACGCGTGGGAAATGGCTTGTATGCGAAGGAGGATTCATGCGAGGAATCGGCTCGCGGGAAGAAGACGCACACCGTGCTGTAACCTTGCTGCAACTCCGCTTTATTCGCAATTATGCAATGCACCTCCACCTGCGACATTTAACGCGTTAATACGCGGAAAATCTCATCAGCCGTCATTGTGTCTCAGGACACGGAGAGAGACATCGCGATGAGAGATTTTCTATTTTCTTCATTCTTCATTTTCCCGAGCGCCGGCTTCGAGGAAGAAAGAAACGTTCACGCCCGTTGTGACGTCTGACTTTCTCCGTAAAATCCGTTGTCGGGAATTTAAAACGCACAGACGGGAAATAAAAATGATCGAATGCGAGTTGGAATATTAAAATATTGATAAATGGTTCTATTAGTGACTAGCTAAGAAATCACGGCTGATTTAGCGATGTATAAAATATCATTGTAAGTAGGATATAAATGTTGATTGTATATTACGCACTTGCTGAATAATTATTCGGATAAACGCACGCGGAGAATCAGCCTTCCACGAACCTTAAATCCTAGCAATGCAATTTACAAAAACCTCTGAAATCTTTTCTAATTAATACATTAAACGATAAATCATTACGTGATTCCGTTTTACATGTTGCGAAAAATACTGCTTTCACCGGAAGGAATATTTTAGATACGTCCACGGAATGTAACATAAGCGGATAAAAATATACCGTTGAATCAATGGAATTTCCAACAGTAGCATAATTGGAGTGAGTGGTTTCTTGATTCAATGGCTGATATCATAAAAACTACCACAGTGCATTATTGTTTCAATAATTAAAGTATTAGTTTCAATGATATCGCTATCGGGACCAAGATTTACTCCAATTACCGCGTGCTGTTGAAAATTTTATTCGTTCAACAGCATTTTTTCCGGTGTGTACGAAATCTCTTTTCCTTTATCTTATTAATCAATAAATCCATTCTATCAATATATATATATATATATATATGTGCGTCTGCGAGTACATTCATGAACACGCCGCTAATTCCGCCGGCAGCTCTCGACGCGCATCAGGTATCTGTTTCTTTGCACAGCTTTCGCGTCCGTTAATCGACGATGATGTACACCGGTATCCCAGCCGCGGGAACTTAATCATTGCAAAATAAACACGTAACAAGCGGATCAGAAGAAGACGTGCTCGCTCGGCGAGGCAAAAATGGGTGGGTAGGTGGATGGCGGCGGAGGTTGAGGAGAACGAGAGGAGGAGCGATGCACTTTTCCTCGACCCGCTATCGATCCTCGCGATCGTAACCGGCGCGAACGCGAGCCGGGATCTCGCGAATCGCATAATTCGAAGGATACCCGCGTTTTATGCACGGCCTCCTTGCCACCTCCGCGCCGTTTCCGTCGGCGGGGCAGAAGGACACGATGGAGAAGGAACGCTCGCTGAGAGCGGCTGTCGCGGTTAAACGGAGGGGAAAAGAGAGACCGTCTCGCGCTCGCACACGAAAAAATGTCGAACGATAAAATTATTAAACATCACTCGAGTCATCGCTCATCCGGGTTTCATTCTCTCTCTCTCTCTCTCTCTCTCTTTCTTTCTCTTCCTTTCTTTCCTCCTTGGCGGTTTGCGATGCTTTTTGCGAGAAGCGACAAATCGCGTCATCTTTAAACGGACGTGATGATGACTTGCGTGAATAGCGTGGTTGCGTTCATCCGAATTTTCTGAATGGCGGTGCGAATACTCCGATTAGGAAGAAAGGATCGAGCTTATTGTGCTTTAGGCTGCTCTTTCACGGTGAATCTTTCCACCGAATTTCAACGAAATTGCGAGGTAACGGAGCACGACTTTCCGCCCGCGACTTTCCGAGGAAATCTCGTCGGGTGAATTTCGCGAAGACTAATGCCTTAATATCGTCCTTTCCATTTCATTTCTGTGTTCCTATGGAGGAACAGCAAATTGATCTATCTTTAAAATTATTTTATCTATGATAATGATAGACCTAGATCTTGTTACTGAAGTGCAGTTTGGACTTTTGCCTTTCAGAAAATAATTTCATCTGGCCATCATCCATCACCTTGTCGGCGGTAAGTAGGGATGGAAAATAATCTTGAAAAACATACATTTTTAATTAATTAATTAATTGTTAATTAATTAATTTTAATTAATTGTCTCATCTTTTAAATTAATTAATTAAAAATAGCAAAAAATAAAAGATCGAAAAATCACTAATGAGATATTGTTTCTAAAAGTTCAAATCGTCAATAATGACGATTCCCGTTACAATATGATTCATCAGATATACGCCAAGTCACTCAAGAGTAGATATTCCGACTATTTTCCGGGGAAAACGGCTGGTCGGGAAATTCTGATTTTAGACTTTTTAGTTCCTTTGATCCCAATTATCCTAAACCGATAATGGATTTCATGTACAGAGGAAAAGATTTCTTTAAATTTAGTATTTCTATTTATTTGACTAAAATTTGTTTCATAGAAATAGCACATACGAAATATTATTTGTTTGTAAGAATTTTATTGTCTCATTCAAGAAAACTATTATTTAACAGAAGAAACGCTGTTATTCGAAATAATATCCTTTAACCAAATAAAATCTTATTTGGTTACAATAAATATGTAAAGTGAAACAATAATTTCTTTATAAGAAAA